TGGAATTTTCCTTTTGTGTTCTCCTCATAGTTATTCATGATACAGGCAATATCATTTGCAAGCAAAGATAAACATTCTTCACTGATGCCAGCAAACATTCTTTGTAGCAAAAACTTACTAACGAACATCTTCTCACCAGTGGCTCCCTACCACCTACCAAGAAGAAAAACAAACTAATTATTTTTCTTGAACTTTTTTCTATTTTTATATTATCTTTTATATAATAAGCAAAAAGATGACTGAAAGCCTTTGGGTCCTTTAAATCATATTTTATTGCATTTTTCTTCACCTACTCATGTTATGAGAAGAAAGAGCCCAATCTTGTCAGTACTTATTTATGAAAGATATCAATATGTGATTACTTCTTACCTCAAATTATATTGAAGAAATTGGTATAGAAATAGCTTATTAGCTTATATTATCATAATTAACGTGCGCATGGTGACTAAAGAAAATAAGCGTTCTTGCATGACCCTGAGCCTAGAAGGAGTCTTTGCACCTAGGAAAGCCATGTCCTTTTCTAATACAGTCAGGTCTTTCCAGCTTAAGAATATAGAAATGAGCATAGATTCCAATGATTTCAATCATAACCAATTTAAACACTAATAAGTTGTTTAAAATCAAGCTTGATTAGAAATGAGTTCAGAAATAAACCCATCACATAAGCCAACATGCCATCGTTTGTACATTCTAGATTCTTAAATATATCAAGCACACAGCTACAAATACTGTTTTAGTTACTGATGAGTTAATTTTGTTCTGCCCTCTGATGATAGACTGATTCTCTGATCCATACCCGCCATCTGTCCTACTCAGACCCTTAGTCATAAGAGAAACTTGGCAAGAGCGTATAGTGTAAGAGCAAATCCCTCACCACTACAGAACTGAGGGGGAGATTCTTCAAGGTACAGGCCCTATGGTAAAGTAGTGAAGCCTAAAAGAGGGAAAGGACTTCCACTTCCGACCACAACAGAGAAACCTTTCCTCTTCAACAATGATAAAATTTGACAAGACATATGAAATAACTGTTTGCCCATGTTGGATAACAGGTAAAATCTCATCCTTGAGAGAAGGGAAATAAACAAGGTGATCCCAGAAGTACTTTACAGATCTCAGTGTAGGGTGCTGAGGAAACAGATCAGAATTCAGGGCCACTGAGGCAGCTGGAATTGATGGGGCATGCTACCAGAGAGAAAGGGGCTGTGTAATTTGTTTGTACAAATACATAATTCCAAGTTGAGAAAAGTGCTATAAAGGAATAAATAGGAGTTCCAGAAATCTGCACAGGGGCCCCCTTGAGTCTTTGGCTGGATACTAGGCAATAGATCCACAGAACAATACTCCTCAAAGCCAGACAAAGAACAACTACAGGGGAGCTTGGGGCTGAGCAACTGCCAGAGCCTCCACAGGATTTGGAATTGTTCGGGTTTCAACCAGCCAAAGTAGACAGACCTCACTAAACACCCCAAGCATTCAACAGACCCTAGAAAGACCATGCCTTAGGAAGAAGACCACTCTAGCTCTGGTAAAGGTACTCTCCATCTACCCTAACAAAGCTGAAAAACAGGCCTCAAAATATCAGACTAACGGCTGTTTTTCCAAGCACACCATGTAAACCTCTTAGTAATAAAAGGTGTTGACTATGCTGCTGTTGTTAAATCATGGCCAGTGTGTGTTTATGCTGCATTAGGTCAGACAATCTTACTATTCCAGATCTACAGGCAAAATCCTAAAGGATCAAGAAGTGAGCCTAATGGAAATTATATGTGGACTCTGTTTTTTCTTATTTGGTATTTTTCAAAACCAAGGTAGAAGGCACAGTTTGCAAAGTCAGCACAGTCTTACAAGGAGATTCTAAATCAATCAATGGAGCTCACTGAGGAACCTTAAAACCTATCTCAGTATTTTCACCAATCCCTCAGATGCTCATCAATGGCACACCTAAACTCCTTTCTCTAAAAATACTAACTTTTACAATGTTTGTTGGTACTGAGCTCTTTACATGCGTCATTTCATCTCCACGACCCTATGAGGTGGAATTAATATTACTCCTATTTGCAGATGAGAAAACAAAGGCTAGAGAGGTTTGGTATAATATGCTAAATGTCACACAGGTGGTAAGTGATGGAGCAAGGTCTCTAACCCATAGCTGTAGGATTCCAAAGCCAGGCACTTAATCATACACTCAACTGATTCCCTATGTTGAAAGTGAACATATGGATTCCACTCTCAGATCCTCTTAGAATTCCCACACAAAAATTTCCACAAAAACATAGTAATCAGGTAAGTAAATAAAATCCAGACTTTCCCTTATGCCTCTTGCCTAATTCCTTCCTATTCCAGGCAGCTGGGGCCAACTAAATTGTATGAATTTTTGTTTTGATCTGAGCATGGGTGAAGGGGTGTGGTAAATTTTTAAATTATGGGGTCTGAATAACTTTTTCTCAGTTGTGGTATTTTTATCCAAAATGGCAATTTCCAAAGGAGGCCAAATTCCTTGATATAGTCTGCTCTAAGCTCTCATCTATAATTTTACTCTAAACATAACTTTCCCTATTGGTTGGGCTAATCATTTAAAGATGGTATAGACATTCTTAAATGTTCAGACTTTCATGAAAGACCTGACTGCTACCAAAACTCACAGTATAACCCTATGCAAGTCAGTGAATCTTCCTGGGCTACAGTTTCCTTGTCTAGAAAATGAGGACCTTGAATTACATTGGCATCCACCAGTCCTAAGAGATACCTCCCTCGAAAAAGAAGTTCCATGTCAAATGACAGGGAGGAAAGCTACAAACAATAGCCGCATTTAGAGACTCAGGATTCACTAGCAACGGATAATGTGTTGGGAAATTAAAGCCTCAGAAAAGTCCTGCAGTAAAGAAATCTGTGTAACTTTGTTTAGTTCCTAATTTCTCAAACTTATTTGACCATAAAACCATTTCCCTGGAAAAATGTCTACAAACATCCCATGAAAGTAGTATCCATTCATTCACTCAAAAAACTGTTTATTGATCATCTCTTATATGCCAGACAGTGCACTGGGTATTGGGGATACAAGAATAAACAATCCCTGTTCTCCTAAAGCCTAGAGTTTAGTTGGGAAGATAGGCAATAAATAAGCAACAAATAAATATATGATTCCAAGTTGAAAAAAGTGCTATGAAGGAAATAAATAGGTTTTTTAATATAAAATAATGACAAAGGGGGCATATTTAGATAAGATAATACGAAAAAGTCTCTAACAGCGTAATATATCAAGATATCATAGTATCTTAAATAATACTAATATAATCTATGAGATATTCATATAATTAGTATCATTTAAGATGATATTTGATGAATGAGAAGTGGACTACATGTAAAGAGCAGAGGAAGGCATTCCAGGCAAAAGACCAGCATCTGTGAAAACCCGTGGTGTGAAACTGCTTAACAAGCTCAGAGAATTGAAAGGCCAGTGAGGTGAGAAAGGAGGAATGACTTCAGGAGAGACTGGAGAGATTGAAAGGGGCCTGATCCTGCAGGACTTCTGGGTCACAGAAAACAGCTTGGGTTTTATTCTAAGCACAATGGAAAGGAGTTTAAACAGGGAAGTGCTCTGATAGAATTTGTTTTTTAAAAGGTCATTCTGGCTGTCCAGTCAAGCACAGTTTGAAGCACCAGGAAGAATACTTAGGAAGAATAATAAAAGGCGGCATTAGTTTTCAACTGCTGCTGTAATAAATTACCACAACCTTGTGGCTGAAACAATACAAATTTATATCATCCAGGTCTGTAGGTCTGATGTCTGACATGGGTCTCACTGAGCTAAAATCTGCAGGTCTGCATTCCTTTCTGGAGGCTCTAGAGAAGAATCAATTTCTTGCTTATTTGGGTTGTTGGCAGAATTCAGTTCCCTATGGTTGTAGAACTGAGGTCCCTGTTTTCTTGCTGGCTGCAAGCTTGGGCTATTCTCAGCTTCTAGAAGCCACTCACAATCCTTGGCTTGTGGCCTCCTTCTTCTCTCTTCAAAGCCAGCAATGGTGGGTCAAGTCTTTCTCATACTTAAAATCTCTCCTCCTCCTTCTTCCATTTCATCTCTCTGACTCAGCCAAGAAATATTCCTTACTTTTAAGAATGCATGTGATTAGGTTGGGCCCACTCAGCTAATCCAGGATAATCTCACCATCTGAAGGCCTATACCCTTAATCACACTGGCAAAGTCCCTTTTGCTGTGTAAGGTAACATGTTCACAGATTCCAGGAATTACAGAGTGCACATCTTTGGGGGTATAGGAGGAAAGGCATTATTTTGCCTACCACAAAAGCTGTGGTAGCGGTTCCAAGTGAGAGATAAGGCAAATTAGACCAGTGTGATGGCAATGGAAAAGGTAAACAGATTTAAGGTGTATTTTGAAGACAGAATTAATAGGCTTGGTGGTGATTGGTTATATGGGTGGAAGGGTGGCTACAAGAGAAGGGAATCAAGGCTGACTGCTAAATTCCTGGTCTTTCAGACTTATCAGTTAAGTGCCAGGGGATATCTTTCATAAAATAAAGGAGGGTGCGAATGAAACCAATTGTAGAAGAAAATTCAAGAGTTCTGTTTTCTGTGGAACATCCCTAGAGAAACATTAACCAGATCACCTGTGAGATTTCTTACTACTTTAACACTCTAAGAAATCTCTAAAAATATCTCTCCTATTCAAAGGTCATATAATTTTTATAATAAAGCATCATTCCTATTATCTTGAGAAATATATATTCAAAGGTGACTTCTTTGTGATTCATCACATTCTTTGGAGTGGAGGGAACCTTGGTATGTTAGTTATCTATTACTGTGTATAAACTTGCCCCAAAATTTAGCAACTTAAAGCAACACCATTTCTGTGGGTCAGGAATCCAGACAGGATTAGCTGGGTCTGCTTCATAGTCTCTCATGAGGCTGTAATCAAGACAGTTAGGGCTGTGGTCTCAACTGAAGGCTCTACCAGGGAAGGATTCAATTCCAAGCTCACTTACGTGGTTATTGGCAGAAGTCAGTTCCTTGAGTGTTGTTCTGAGGGACTTGATTATCACTGACTGTTGATCAGAGGCCACCCTCAGCTCCTTGCCACATGGGCCTCTTCACCATTGCAATTTACTTCATCAAACCTAGCAAGAAAGACAAAGTCTGCCAGGAAGTCACAATCTTTTATAACTTAATCATGGAAATGATATCTCCTCAATGTTTCTATATCCTATTGGTTAGAAGCAAGTTACTTAAGGGGTGGAAATCACACAAAAGGGGAGGCAGGGATCATTGGGTGCATCACAGAGACTACAGACCACACTTGGGGATTGAAGAAACCAAAGAAGAAAAAAAGTAAAAGTGAAAGTCAAAAGGAAAAGTGAGAAAGGCAATCTTCATCTTCTCAACTTTTTTAGGATAGCAGTCCTAAACAGTATCCTTCAGACAGTCGGACAATTACCCTCAAGAGAGGTAATTAGGAAACTAGTTCTGACACAGAAAAGGATACCCCAAGAAGGACTGCAAGTCAGTCTAACAATAACTTCTAAAGATTATAGCAGGAAAAAAAAAAGATTAAAACAAGTTTTTGTTTAATATTTTTAATTCAAAATTAATTTACTAAAAAATAAGACTTTTAGCAGAATTGGAGTAAACATACAGGAAGAAAAGAACAATAATATTTTGTAAAACACACTAGTCAGTTCTCAGCAATAACAGTGAAAAATACAGCAAGCAATTACTAATGGAAATTTCTTAAAAATAGAATGCTTCCAAATTTTCCCATCTTGTATATTATCCTACATTGATTTTTTTTTTTTAAGTAGAAATAAGGGCAAGGGCCACATTCCTGTCTTCTCAAGGAGCATCTGTGACTATGACCTTGGTCTTCCTTTTTTCCTTTCTCTTTTAATTTCTTTCTTTCTTTTTTTTTTTTTTTGAGGAAGATTAGCCCTGAGCTAACTACTGCCAATCCTCCTCTTTTTGTGCTGAGGAAGCCTGGCCCTGAGCTAACATCCATGCCCATCTTCCTCTACTTTATAGGTGGGATGCCTACCACAGCATGGTGTGCCAAGTGGTGCCACGTCCACACCCAGGATCCAAACCAGCAAACCCTGGGCCACTGAAAAGTGGACCGCACGCACTTAACTGCTGCACCAGCGGGCCAGCCCCTCATTTCTTTAACTTTAGGATTACTTGAGTGCTGGTGTATGGAATAAAAGCCTTATAATTTAAACTTTGAAAAATAAACAAAAGTAGACAAATCTAATTATACTATATTATATCAATGTTGGTTCCTTAGTCATAATAAATGTACCATACTCATATAAGATGATAACGATCATGCAAACTGGGTGTGGGGTATATGGAAACTTTCTGTAGTATCTTCATAATTTTTCTGTAATTCTAAAACTATTCTTAAAAATAATTTTTATATTTAAAAAACACAAATCCTAAAATAAACATGTTAATGGAAATGAAAAAAAAATTAGGTAACTCAAACCCTCTAATTTCCTATCCTTATATTGGCAAAGACTCTTCACAGCTTTGGAGTAGGTGCCCAGGTACCTTGATGTTTCAGGGACTCCTGCTATGGGACTTCACCTGCAGTAGGATCCTCAGTGCCAGAACACAGACTCAGCTCCAAATATCTGAAAAAATACCCCATGTTAAAAATCAGTTTAACTCCTCATTCTCTAAGCCAGCAGTCTGGAATAATATCCAAGGGAAACCTTCCTAGAAAAATATCCACAGGGGGTAGGACAGAGTCAAGATGGTGGCATAAGCAGACTCTGGACTTACCTCCTCTCATGGATGCAACAAATTTACAGCTACTCTTTGAACAATTACCCCTGAGAGAGAACTGAAAACTAGATAAAAAGAACCCCACAACAAGGGATGGTGCTGACTAAGGTGAAAGAGGCAGAAATGCCTTTCTGGAGGAAAAAAAAGCCATCTTCAAGCCACAGTGCTTCACAGCCAGCCAAGAGCAATCCTAAGGTACAAGCCTTCCTTGGAGGAGTAGAGGATCTGAGCAAGGGAGTGGTACCACAATAAGCAGCTTTTGGATTCAGTACAACCGAGACAAGGGTCATAATACCTGGCTTTGCTGGCTATTAAGTACAACAGGGAATACCCCAGGAAAGCCATCAGACATAAGGGGGGAAAAGCCTGATCTTAAACGGCCCACACACAAATTCACCCATTTTGGAAAGCAACCTAAAATCACCAGAAAGAAATGTGCACAGTCCTTTGGTGAAAAGAGACTCATTTGATAGGTTCTGCACACATCTCAGCAAGAGGTGAGACCTCCCCAGGGACTGAGACATTAGCGGCAGCCATTACTATGATCTAGCACAGGCATGCTGATACAGACGCTGGCAGACACCATGGGACTTCTTCCTCTGGCCTATTAGCCCAGGGGTCTGCCCCACCCACTAGAGCACTGATTTAATCCAGCTCAGTTAGGACAGGCAGTCTGCCCTAGGGACTGGCCCCACCCAACAAGCCCTTGGGCAACCTGTGGGCCTGCATAGGCAGGGTGCCTGGAAACTCTGCAGGGGGCAAGTGGGTCTGCCCCTGTGGGGCAGGGCATGCACAAGGGGTGGACCCATGTTGGTGGACTATGTAGGGCCTCTGCAGTGAGGTGACTGGGCCCACTTAAGTGGGTCAGGGACCACATACAGGGCAGGACTGCTTTGACAGGTGTGTAGTCCCATAGTAGTGGGGCTTGTCAGCTGCAGCAGACTTGTGCTTCTCAAACAGCCATATAGAGGATTGACCCCATATTCCAAAGCCTGAAACAAGTGGGGGATCCATGCCTGGGGCTGGTCCCACTCAGCTGCAACACAGAGAGCTGACAACAGCCTTGCAGGCCAGAGGCCTATAGCAATTGTAAGCCCCTGAGCTTAGCAACCAGCCACACTGTGGACCTACTCACTTAACAGGAAAACTGCAAGAGGAGTGTGCTAAGAGACCTTGCAGCCAACTGTGCTGGGGTTCCCTATGCCTAATAAAGTGATTGAAGGGACCATAGCAGCCACAGGCACTGAGTATTACAACCAGCTGGCCAGAGGGACAGCCTAGCCTCCTCAGGCACCTGCAGCAGGAGTAACCTTGCCACAACAGAAGGACACACATAGCCCACACAGAGGATACTCCTGGAAATTTGGAACTGGTGACAAGGAGGAAGCAAACTGCTGGACCTCATAAGGCATCTCATACATAAGGTCACCTCTCCAAGATTGGGAGATGTAGCTGATCTACCTGATACATAGATATAAGCACAAAGAAAAAGGCAAAATGAGGAGACAAAGGAATACATTCCAAGTAAAGGAACAGGACAAAACCCTAGAAAAAGAACTAAACAAAACAGCGATAAACAATCTACTGGACAAAGAGCACAAACTAAGAGTCATAAGGAAGCTCACTGATCTTGGGAGAAGAATGCACAAACTCAGGAAGAACTTCAACAAAGAATTGGAAAATATCCAAAAATAAATCAGAAATGAAGAATACAATACAGGAAATGAAAAATTCACTAGAGGGACTCAAAAGCACAGTAGATGATATAGAAGAATGGATCAGCAAGCTGGACAAAAGACTACAGGAAATCACCCAAGCTGAACAGATAAAAGAAAAGAGAATTAAAACTAATGAGGACAGTCTAAGGGACCTCTGGGACAATGTCAAGTGCACTAACATCCATATTATAGGTGTCCCAGAAGGAGAAGAGAGAGACAAACGGGCAGAGAATCTATTTGAAGAAATAATAGCTCAAAACTTTCCTAACCTAAGGAAGGAAAGATATCTAGGTACGGGAAGCACAGAGAGCACGAAACAAGATAAACCCACGAGGCCCACACCAAGACACATTACAATTAAAATGTCAATAATTGAAGATAAAGAAAGAATCCTAACTGCCACAAGAGAAAGGCAACAAGTTACATACAAAGGCAACCCCATAAGGCTATCAGCCAACTTCTCAGAAGAAACCTTACAGGCTAGAAGGGAGGGGCATGATTCATTTAAAGTGCTGAAGGGAAAAAACCTACAGCCAAGAACACTCTACCTGGCAAGGTGATCATTCAGAATGGAAGGTGAGATAAAGAGTTTCCCAGACAAGCACAAACTAAAGGAGTTTATCACCAAGAAACAAGCCTTACAAGAAATGCTAAAGGGACTTATTTAAGTGGAAAAGAAAAGACCACAAATAGGAATAAGAAAATTATCAAAAAAAAAAAAACACAATAAAATCACTGGCAAAGGCAAACAAACAGCAAAGGTAGCAGATCAACAACCTATGAAGCTAAAATGAAGTTCAGAAGACAAAAGTACTAAAATTATCTTTTTCCATGATAAGAGAGTAATGGATACACATGCAGAAAAAAAAAATTAGATATGATAGCAAAAACATAAAATGTGGGAGGAGGGGAGTTGAATAGTAGAGCTTTTAGCAAGAGGTCAAACTAAAGAAACCATCAGTTTAATATAGATTGCTATATATGTAGGTTATTATATATGAACCTTATGGTAATCAAAAGCCAGAAACCTATAATAAATACACAAAAAATTAAGAGAAAGGAACCCAAACTAAAGACTAATACTAAAGAAAGCCATCAAACCACAAGGGAAGATAGCAAGAGAAGAAGAAAGGAACAGAGAAGAACTTCTAAAACACCCAGAAAAAAAGTACCAAAATGGCAATAAGTACATTCTTATCAATAATTACTTTAAAAGTCAATGGACTAAATGCTCCAATCAAAAGACATAGGGTGGCCAACTGGATAAAAACAACAAGACCCATACATATGCCACCTACAAGAGACAAACTTCAAACCTAAACCTCACAAACTGAAAGGGAAGGGATGGAAAAAGATACCCCATGCAAATGGCAATGAAAAGAAAGCTGGGGTAGCAATACCTATATCAGACAAAATAGACTTCAAAACAAAAATTATAACAAGAGACAAAGAAGGGTACTACATAATGATAAAGGGAACAATCCAACAAGAGGATATAACACTTGTAAATATCTATGCACCCAACTTAGGAGCACCTAAATATATAAAGCAATTATTAACAGACATAAAAGGAGAAACAGATAGCAACACAATAATAGTAGGAGATTTTAACACTCCACTTACACCAATGGTTAGATCACCCAAACAGAAGATCAATAAGGAAACATTGGCCTCAAATGACAGATTAGACCAGACAGACTTGGTGGAGATATACACAACATTCCATATAAAAACTGCAGAATACACATTCTTTTCCAATGCTCATGGAACCTTCTCCAGGAGAGATCAAATATTAGGTCACAAAACAAGCCTCAAAAAATTTTAGAAGATCAAAATAAGAGCAAGCATCTTTTTGGAATACAACAGTATGAAACTAGAAATCAACTACAGAAGAAAATTGGAAAAGCCATAAATATGTAGAGATTAAACAAAATGCTACTGAGAAATCAGTGGGTCAATGAAGAAATCAAAGGAGAAATATAAAATACCTGGAGACAAATGAAAATGAAAATATGACATGCCAAAATATATGGGATACAGCAAAAATGGTTCTAAGAGAGAAATTTATAGCAATATAGGCCTACCTCAACAAATAAGAAAAATCTCAAATAAACAATCTAACAGTGCACTAGAAAAAGAAGAAGAAACAAAGTCCAAAATCAGTAGAAGGAAGGAAATAACAAAAATCAGATCAGAAACAAATGAGAGACTAAAGAGAAAACAGAAAAAAATCAATGAAACTAAGAGATGGTTCTTTGAAAAGAAACACAAAATTGACAAACCTTTAGCTAGACTCACCAAGAAAAAAAGAGAGAAGGCTCAAATAAATAAAATCAGAAATGAAAGAGGAGAAATTACAACAGACACCTCAGAAATACAAAAGATTATAAGAGAATACTGTGAAAAGCTAAAAGCTATATACCCCAACAAATTAGATAATCTAGAAGAAATGGATAAATTCTTAGAATCATTCAGCCTTCCAAAACTGAATCAAGAAGGAACAGAGAATCTGAATAGACAAATCACCAGTAAGGAGATTGAAACAGTAATCAAAAACCTTCCAAAAAATAAAAGTCTATGGCCAAACAGCTTCCCTGGTGAAGTCTACCAAACATTCAAAGACTTAATACCTATCCTTCTCAAACTCTTCCAAAAATTGAAGAGGAGGGGAAGCTTCCTAACTCATTCTATGAAGCCAACATTACCCTGATACCAAAACCAGAAAGAACACAAAAATGAAAATTACAGGCCAATATCACTGATGAATATCAATGCAAAGATCCTCAACAAAATACTAGCAAATCGAAAACAACAATAATTAAAAAGATCATACACCATGATCAAGTGGGATTTATTCTAGGGATGCAGGGATGGTTGAACACCCACAAATCAATCAGTGTGATGCACCACATTAACAAAATGAAGAATAAAAATCACATGGTCATCTCAATAGATGCTGAGAAAGTATTTGACAAGATAAAGCATCCATTTAGGATAAAAACTCTCCATAAAATGGGTATGGAAGGAAAGTACCTCAACATAAAAAAGGCCATATATGACAAACCCACAGCTGATATCATTCTCAAAGGAGAAAAACTGAAAGCTATCCCTCTTAAAACAGGAACCAG